TTGTTCAGCTCTTCCTGGTCGATGTACTTCTCCTTCACCTTCTTCTTCTTTTTCTTGTCTGATTTGTCGTGGTCATGCTCATCGTCTGAGCCCACGTCTTCGATCTCGGGCTTGTCCTCCTCCTTCTCCTCTTCATCCTTCTCTTTCTCCTTCTCTTTCTCCTCCTCCTCTGCCTCATCGTCACTCACTTCCTTGTCACGCTCCTTTTCCACCTGTAGTAACAAAATAATAATCAATAGCTATTCAATGTGTCTAAACAGGTACCCACAGACATGACAAATTCAAACCATCTTTACATTATATTGTTTTGAAGTGTTAAGCAATGTTAGCAGTAATGTTAAAATTTTCATTCAACAATAAATCTATTAACTGCTATGCCATCTGCTCCTCCGAAATCAAAAGCATAACAATAATTCCTCTATCTCCTCATTCTTCATTATTGGAGAAAGGGCCAGCTTTATCCTAAATAACAGAGGTAACTTTGCACATAAAATATTTGATTTTTTTTTATTGTTATGAACTGTGTAAATTCTGTTTAAGATAGACAGGTAGCTACTTTATTGATCCCAAAAGAAATTTAAAAAGGTGCTATTTAAATAAAACATATTTCACTCAACTTTCAGAGAAAATTAGGCATGTCAAATAACCTTTCTAATAATAACAGTGGTCCTGCTCATAGTTTTGATTAATATGTAGGCATGCAGTGGTTTCCAAAAAACAACAGCTTCTTATAAACCATGTAGCACTTACAAAGAGTGTGATGGGGTATCCAATGAACTGTGAGTGCTTCTTGACGATCTCCTTGATTCTCCTCTCCTCCAGGTATTCTGTCTGGTCCTCTTTAAGGTGCAGGACCACTTTGGTGCCACGTCCCATTGGTTCAGCTGAAAACAAAAATAAAATTACATTAAGTTGTCAATAAACAGACAGTATTTTTAATCAACCAAATAGCTACCAAGGGTCCCAGTTATTAAAATTGGCAGTAGAAAATGTTTGTTTCCCCTGCAATGTTTACTGAAAATTTTTGTTGAAATAAATACTAAAAATAATGTAGATTTTTTTTTTTTCTACTGTTGATTAATTTAGCTTTAAATATTGATTATTTTATTTATTGTATTATAAATATATTGTTTTTCACCTGAAATAATCAGCACCTAATATGCAAAACAATCTAATTTACAGTTAGATGAACTACTGTAGATATTTCATATTTGGATATTAAAAAGCAACATAAATTTGAAAAAAATTTAAAATAATTCTTACATATGTCGTTCCTGACAGTGAAGGACCCCCCGGCAGATGACTCCCATGCATACTGTTCGTCATCATTGTGTTTGGTGACCACTGTGACCTTTTCTGCCACCAGGTATGCAGAGTAGAAACCCACTCCAAACTGCCCAATCATGGAGATATCTGCCCCAGCCTGCAGAGCCTCCATGAAGGCCTTGGTGCCCGACTTGGCGATGGTGCCCAGGTTGTTGATGAGGTCGGCTTTGGTCATGCCAATGCCAGTGTCTCGGAGGGTGAGGGTGCGCTCCTCTTTGTTGGGAATGATTTCGATTTTCAGATCTTTGCCACTGTCGAGTTTGGAGGGGTCTGTGAGGCTTTCATAGCGGATTTTGTCCAAAGCCTGTGGATTTTAAATAGTTCAGAATCAATACACAGTGCAAAGCTAGTTTTAAACAATCAATTGTAATTTTCTTTAAGATTGGAGTTATTTTACTACATAAATTTCATCAATGTAGGAATTATTTTTTGTAAACATGATATTTTCATTCTTGTTTTAGTAGATTTGTCAGATTGAAGTCATATTGATGAGAGCAAATATAAAATATACTAAGCATATATAAAACACACTTTGCAATAATTTCACTGAATCTAATTTCAAACTTACATCAGAAGAGTTGGAGATGAGCTCTCTGAGGAAGATCTCTTTGTTGGAATAGAATGTGTTGATGATGAGAGACATGAGCTGAGCAATCTCAGCCTGAAAGGCAAAGGTCTCAGTCTCAGGCTCCTCCTCCATTGGCTGGTCACGTGCCTCAGGCATCTGCAACAAATAGAAACAGAAACTTAACAAATGCTTAATGTTTCAAACGGTCAGATAAGAGCATAGATTTTTGCAGCAACTGTTAGAGTCTGTAAAATATTACATCTAGCCCCCGTGTGAGTAGTTGTCTGGATGGGGAATAGGGTTGTCAAAAGTACTGAAAATCAGATACTAATCAATACTAACACTAGTACAGAGCAGGTATCACTACTAAAAAGTCACATTCACATGAATTCTATTATGGACCACTAATCCTTTGTGAGAAGTTCAAATAATCAATTATCACCAACAGGGAACACAAAAGGATGCAGCTGTCACGATAAAATACTGTCTATTTTTCTACTAACCATGTGATTTCTCCTAACATAGTCTGAAATTAATTATTTAGTAGGAAATTTGTTCAGAAAGTGAAAAGGCTGTATTTATTTGGCCAAAATGTCTACTGTAAGTACATGATCAATATCTTGTCTCCAAGAGATAATAGTATTCAATCAACAAGTAGCCATGTAGTTTCGATCTATAGTAACGAGTAACAGGTCAATCTCCTCTCATATCTTCACTTTTCTTGTGCTTTAAATGTGCGCTGTGAAAGAGATCTTGATTACATAGTTAAAATCGATTACATAGTTAAATCGAGAAGTTTTTTTTTTTTTTTTACTAAATCTTGCAGTTTTTCATTCATTCTACAAACCGCAAGCACATGGAGAGAAATGGCGCCACTTGCAGGTTGCTTTGGTATATTGCGTGTTTCTAGAAGGTACCAAAGACCTCAGAACAATCTAGCAGTTTCCATGTGAGTAAGAGGTGAGCCCCTCCTTTGGCAACCAAGATCCTTGAATGAATCAGCTTTGCGTTTAAATCACGGAATTATCCAAACAGCAATTTAAAAAAAATAACTTGGCAACTTAAATTTTGATTTTATTATAAAAACACTACGTGCTGTTCACAAATTTATTTTAAAAACGCATAAATATTGCACCAAATTATAGAAAATTAAAAATAAGTAGATGCAAATCTTGTTACTAGATTACAACGCACCTGCTCCGTTGCACTTGCATTATCACAACCCAGTAACACAATGTACATTTGATGACAACTAAGATAATTATGAGTTCAAAGCATAAAAATGAATCGACAACTTAATGTTTGAATAATTTAATTTAAAAACTATTATTTATAGCAATTTAGTTTTAGACAATTTAAGATATGCCATTGTAGCTTCATAGCTTAAGCATCATAGAAGCTTCTTTCATTTACCTTGGTCTTCGTTGGTGAGTCTTCGCAGTAGAAATAGAAGTAGGAATGCGAATGTGGGAGTAGTTAAGTTGCTCCCTCGCCCGGTTGCGCCGCTAGTTCGTGGTTCGGGTTTCTGTGACTGTGCAAAGATGTGCCCTGCTCGCTTTTATACAGTTTCTGACGGGGATTTCGAGAATTCTCAGCTTCTGGAACCGTCTGGAATGTTCGGAGACAGTTTCAGCCCGCTGATTGGTCCACTCAGCTGTCAGTCAATTGGATTTCTATTACATTGCATTGTAGAGGGGGCGGGACTCACGGGTCAGCGTTTACTACAATGTTATTGAAGATTCCAGAAAGTGCATAGGTATTTTTCTAGAATTTGCAGGTTTAAATCAAGGTGTGGACAAAAATCACAAGTTACGGTTTTGTTTCTCATCATATTTTATTAAAAACTCGTTTGCATATCAAAAATTGTCATCGTTACAAAAAGAGAGAGAACTCACCCTAGACATATGACCTTAAATTACTCTTTCAAGTTAACAGTTATTGGCTTATTAGTTACTGTGCAATATTTCTATACAAATGTGAATAGCATTGTCATGTCTTACTTCATTACAATGTGTACAAATGTATTTTCCCAACCTGAATAACTTACAAAAATAAACAATTAAAACTTTACAGAGTGGAGTAAAATTGGATGGTGGTAGTTTAGTCAACTTCCTCCATTCTGGAAGTGTCATCGTCTCCCTCCAGAGCAGGCATGTCCTCCTCTGCTGGCTGAATCAGATCTTCCACTGGGGAGTCCTCCTCATCAATGCCTGACAGTAACAAGCAAGAAGCATTTGTGAGTGACCAAGTGAAACCAAGAACCAGTCAGTGAACAGTCAGTCTAACTGTCAAAGGTGCATTGTGTAACTTTTCTAGTTCAGAGTCTGCAACCTGCTCCTCTTCCTGGAGGTGTTATTGCTTTGCCTGGAATGTTCCATAGTATGGCCTTACTGATCTACCTTGCATTGATTCAATTACCTCAAAAATACCTTGATTTATTATGGGTTGGGTTGCCGACTCCCCTGATCTAACCTGTAACTTGGCTGTTTGGATGACTACTTGTCTCCATGGTTGTATATTAAGTTTAATGCCATATTGTGGAACATTCAATGCAAACCTATAGTAGCAAAGTGAAAACAAGCTGGTGGTGAAATTTAACTTGATCTTGTAGTCCCTGCTTGTCTCTATGGTTATATTAAGTTAAATTGCATATTGTGGAATATTCCAGACAAAGCTATAACATCTACAAGGAGATAAGCAACTGCATGTCCTCCACAAGAAAAGTTACAAGTATACATGTAAGCTCTTGTCTTTCTTTTACATTACTATAGCGTTTGTTATTTTTGATGAGATCCTTACCCAGTCCGAGTTTGATCATCCTGTAGATGCGGTTGGCGTGTGTCTGTGGGTCGTCCAGTGTGAAACCGGAGGACAGGAGCGCTGTCTCAAACAGCAGAATCACCAAGTCCTTCACAGCCTTATCATTCTTATCGGCCTCTGCCTTCTCCCGCAGAGTCTCGATGATGGGGTGGACCGGGTTGATCTCCAGGTGCTTCTTGGCTGTCATGTATCCCAGTGTGGAGTTATCTCTGAGGGCTTGAGACTTCATGATGCGCTCCATGTTGGCAGTCCACCCATAGGTGCTGGTGACGATGCAGCAGGGAGACGAGACCAAGCGGTTGGATACGGTGACCTATGAATAAGAAGTGAAAGATATTAAGCAAGTGTTTGACCACCTATCTTTAAAACTGCTCATAGATCTACTAAGTGCTGCCAAGTTGTTTGTGATTCATTTATTTCCATATCACACATTCTTATTTAATTTGTTTGTGTCAAAGCATAGATAGAACCTCAAACAAAATATACTTTTTTTTTCAAGCGTTATTTATTTCTATCTTTTTCAATTTGCTAAGTAATTACAATGTGATTTAATTTGGCGAGCTAAAAACTTGCATAACTGATAAATTGACTTTTTTTTTTTTTTTTTTATCCAATTCTTCCAACTATAGTATTGCTTTTAAGTCTTTCTCCATCTATCTTACCTTCTCAATCTTCTTGTCCAGGATGTCCTTCATGATTTTGCAAAGGTTTTCAAATTTAACTTTAAGTTCTTCTTGTTTCTTCTTCTCTTCGTCATCTTCGGGCAGCTCCAGTCCCTCTTTGGTCACAGACACGAGAGTTTTCCCATCAAACTCCTTCAGCTGCTGGACACAATACTCATCGATGGGCTCAATCATGTAGATCACCTCCAGACCAGCTTTACGAAGACGTTCCACAAACGCTGAGTTGGCCACCTGGTCTTTGGTCTCACCTGTGGGAGAAGTCAGAAATCTATATTAGTGATGCACATTTTGCTGTTTGAAGATGCTTGTAGCTAGTAAATGATTCAACTACAACTACTATAGAGAGTACATGTAGTTACTTCTGTCAGTGTGTGTTCAGGTCACTCCTAGTTGTAGTTGATTTCACTGATGATTATTGTAGCAATGTTAAATCAAAATTTACTTCGTACCAGTGATGTAGTAGATGTGTTTCTGGTTGTCCTTCATGCGAGCCACGTAGTCTTTGAGGGACACCATCTCATCTCCAGAGGCAGAGGTGTAGTAACGCAGGAGCTCAGACAGCTTCTTCCTGTTCTGGGAATCTTCATGGATACCAAGCTGGAATAAATCAAAAGTTTGGAAATTAGACAAGGTAGAACAATATATAGTATATGGTATAGCATCTCACATTAGTCATAGCTCTTACCTTGATATTTTTGGAGAACTGCTCGTAGAACTTCTTGTAGTTGTCTTTATCCTCTGAGATTTCACTGAACAGCTCCAGACACTTCTTCACCAGGTTTTTGCGGATCACCTTCAGGATTTTGCTCTGCTGAAGCATCTCTCTGGAAATGTTCAGGGGCAGATCCTCAGAGTCCACCACACCCTTAATGAAGTCTGGAAGAACATTGAAAAATCCATGTTAATTTCACAATATATTCATGTAACAGGCTGTATTTCCAATGCTTATGTCTCTCTATAAGCAATTTCTATCTCAAAACTCTCCACAGAGAAAAGAAGGTTTGTCTTTGTTTGTCTTTTCATGTAAAGCATCTTTGAGTATCTTGAAAAGCGATATATATATATATATATATATATATATATATATATATATATATATATATATATATATATATATATATATATATATATATATATATATAAACTGTGTACTTACTGAGGTATTCTGGGATGAGCTCCTCGCAGTTGTCCATGATGAAGACTCTGCGCACATAGAGTTTAATGTTGTTCCTCTTCCTTTTGTTTTCAAACAGGTCGAAAGCAGCACGTCTGGGAGCGAAAAGTAGAGCGCGGAACTCCAGCTGACCCTCCACCGAGAAGTGCTACAAAGAGGGAGGCAAATCATATCTTTAACAAATGTTGGATATTATCAGCCAACCTAATTAGTAAAAGTAAAAAGTATCTGTAAAAGCTAGTTAAGTGGGTGCGTTATTTTCCCTCACCTTGACAGCCAGGTGGTCCTCCCAGTCATTGGTTAGACTCTTGTAGAACTCTCCGTACTCCTCGTTGGTGATGTCGTCAGGGTTACGGGTCCAGATGGGCTTGGTCTTGTTGAGTTCCTGAGCGTCGATATACTTCTCCTTCACCTTCTTTTTGCGCTTGTTCTGTCCGTCTTTGCTGTCCTCATCCTCGTCGGCGCCAATGTCTTCGATCTTTGGTTTGTCAGCGGCAGCGGCGTCTTTGTTGTCCACTTCCTCCTCTTTCTCTCCCTCCTCCAGGTCAACCTCCTTCTCTCTGGTTTTCTCCACCTGAAAATGACAAAAAGTTTAAGTCAGTATCCTATTTTACTACTACTACTACTACTACAACTACTACTACTAGTACCACTTTGCAAAACTTACATTATTTAACTTCTTTTGATCTATGGTTTACTGGTTTCAGAAATGTCTTATTTCAATTATTTGGTAAAAATCATTCCATGGCAGGAAATTTGTCTAAAAACTATAATATGCTATATTTAAACTTATCTAGTGACTCAAATAATGTATTTTTTTATTAAGATAAATTTAACTTCAAATGAAGATTAATATTCTGAATTTAAATTGTTTTTACTCATCCTGGTATAGTTGTTACCTGACAGCAGACTTACATAGAGTGTGATGGGGTAGCCAATGAACTGAGAGTGCTTCTTGATGACTTCTTTGATGCGTTTCTCTTCACAGTATTCAGTCTGGTCCTCTTTAAGATGGAGGATCACCTTTGTGCCTCGACCAATGGGCTCCCCTGGAAGAAAACGATACGGATTTTCAGTAAAACATATTCAACCTAAATTATATATTCCCCATTATGCCTTTCATCCCTGATGTGCAACAAAGGAAATACTCAAAATATTAGGTAGTTAACACAAGTTGTAGTTTTGGAGGCTACCTGACCTCAGAAGACCTAGCAAACTGATTTAATCTTATATGAAAATCCTGTATGCTTTAATACCTGTATCTGGCCTGACAGTGAAAGATCCTCCAGCTGCAGATTCCCAGATGTACTGCTCGTCATCATTGTGTTTGGTGATCACTGTGACTTTCTCTGCTACCAGGTATGCGGAGTAGAAACCCACTCCAAACTGCCCGATCATGGAGATATCTGCCCCAGCCTGCAGAGCCTCCATGAAGGCCTTGGTGCCCGACTTGGCGATGGTGCCCAGGTTGTTGATGAGGTCGGCTTTGGTCATGCCGATGCCAGTGTCCAGGATGGTGAGAGTGCGGGCGAGAAGATCAGGCGTGATGTCAATCTTAAGGTCTTTGCAAGAGTCGAGTTTGCTGGGGTCTGTCAAGCTTTCGTATCTGATTTTGTCCAGAGCCTGTGGTAAGAGATAAAGGTTAGTCAATTATACAAGAATGGCCTTTTAATTTGCAAGAAAGTTATCATCTTCAGTTGCTTAAATGGGTTGAATTCAGTATATTGATAGGTTTGTTGACAAGTTTAGACAAAATCAAAGGCATTTTATCAGTCACAAATACTAGCATCTTAACTCTGAAAAAAGTCTATCTAAATTAATATTACTATTCTTTCAAGTAGTATCATATTTCATGTAATTGTATCTAGTTTTAGCATCATATTTTCTCTTTATTTACTATATTGTCTTACATCAGAAGAGTTGGAGATGAGCTCTCTGAGGAAGATCTCTTTGTTGGAGTAGAATGTGTTGATGATGAGGGACATGAGCTGAGCGATCTCAGCCTGAAAGGCAAAGGTCTCCACCTCCTCCTCCATCATGCGGCCGCTGCTCTCAGGCATCTGTGGGGAAATACAAAGGAATGTTAAAGGAATTAAATACTATTACTACTACTACTACTACTATACTACTGTTATTGAAACTTGTACAACTACTGTGACTCATTCCTCTGCCATTGTTACTGCTAATTCCACTCCTACAATTGTTGTTACAACTAATACCACTAATACTGCTACCACCATCTTTTCACATTTGATAATGATGATGATTTTTTTTGTTCATATTTTTCAGTATTTTTTTCAATAATACTTATTGAATTTTTTTTTAAAGGAATGGGCTGATTTACCACTACTACTTCTGCTACTTTTACTACTGCACTTCTATTTCTACTACAGTTAGTTGAAACAATAAAAAAAATGATTTGTCCTAATTACATGAAATAGGGTTGAACAGTTGACTGAACTGTCAAATCAGAGGCTGTAGTAGTAAAGTATTGTCCTTAATACTTTTCTACAGTTAAGTTTAGCTGATAATATTTCAGTCTGAACATGAACATATATTAAAGAATGTATGTAAGTGCAATGTTTATCTGAAAAATATTTTATCCCTAAAGTATCCCAAATAGATTGCAGGCTGCTCCGGGTTTAAGATAAGCCCCGTTTGGTTTGAGAGGGGGTTGCAGTGCCAGTCTCCGCTGTCAATCAAAATCCTGCCATATGGTGAGTGGGCGGAGCTTATGATCTCCACTGCTTCAACATGTGCCATTTCACACCTTAATAACTTTACTATAGTTTGTAAATAGTCACTATGAAACTATAGTTACTATTTTTGAAAAGATCATTAGTTCACTTCATTCCTTAAAACAAATCCAGTGGTTGTATATTATATTTAAGGATAAAAATTGCATTGAAACAACCCCAAAGTTTAATTGCTATAATGTTCTTCTATGTACAGAATGATGAGAGATTTACTGAACTTTTTTCTATTGTTTCTATTCAGTAATTTGTCTTTAGTCAGTTGTACTTTAAAATACTGCAAAAATCACAATACATACAGTATATACAATTTTGACTACTTTTTAAAACATATTTTCATTCTACATTGGTTTCTAATTAATAACACATTTTGAGCAGTTAAAGCAGTTGGCCCATTGCTCTTCATTGAAAGTGACCCCTGATGCCATGTGCTCCCACTGCCATAGCCTACTCTCCAACAAAGTCATTGGTAAAGCTAAGTTACAGTTTAAATATTTAAGTTCACTCAAATTCAGAATATTAGAGTAGGTTAGACAAGTTTGATTCAACTGACATTTCTGACTAGTTTCAATCTATTTTTCATACATTGTTTATCTACTCCTAGGATTTTAGGATTGTAATTTCCTAGCGTGGTATTAATAAATGCATGTTGGAGTGCATACAAGCATTAGTCCTGGTTTAGTCCTAGTTTGAGCCCAGTTTAATCTTAATGTAGACAGGGTTTGGTCCTGGCCTAGCCTTGGTAAAGTCCTGAGCTAGTCCAGGTTTCGTTCCAGGTTTAGTCTCAGTTTAGTCCCAAATTTGATGTAATGTGGGTTAACACTTTTAAGTTAAGTTAAGACTTTCTTGAAACTTATCCTAGATCATAATGAATCAAACCTACTCAAAGCAAGATTAGCTGATCCCAAATGCTTAAAAATCATGATATTAGCGGGTTAAATTGCATCCAATCTTACCTTTAATGTAGTCTTCTTTGCAGTAGTAGTAGTAATAATAGTAGTAGTAGTTTGAGAAGGCCTTCTTGAAGAGGCTGCTTGCTTCTCTTATGAGTTCTTTGCTGAGTTGAGGTGAATGTGTCTCTTGACTCTATGACGCTGTGGTCTCAAACCGGTCATCTTTTTATACTTGGGGGGATGTTTCTAGAAGGCCCCCATTCAGAACCTTCTAGAAGATACTACATGTGCATAGTGGGGGGTAGGTGGGCAGTAAGGTGGGGTTGGGTGTCAAAACCACGAGGGAGGGGGCCTAGGAGAAAGCCTAAATTTGGGTGTCCTTTTAGGGTTGTAGAGATACCAGCCACTGCCTGTCAATCATGCCAGAGCTGCCCTGATAGCTTCTCGGGGCAGACCAGCTCACCCGCCCCCCATAGTCGTCACAGCTGTGCATAGGCCCCCGCTATCAGCTGCTGTATGGAAGCCCAACTGGACAAACCTCAGGCAAAAGCAAAGCGCAGAGACTTCCACATGGCTTCAGGCCTGGGAAGAAAGATGACAGATTATTTTGGTTATGGGGAAATTCACGGAAATAAATGTTTTTCAAAGAGCAAGAGCTTTAGAAGAAGCTTTCCAGCAATCAATAGTTTGTCTAAAATGTATTAACTCAAAGTCCATTGTTGTAACCGCAGCTGAACACAAAACACAAAACAAAGAATAAATTGGATATTTTTTTTAAATGCTGTGTTTATTTAAATTTGCTTCAAGTCAACTATAGGAAGGTAAAAGGTGACAGCTATATGCTAATAAGCTTTTAGAGACTTGTAGTTGAACGTATATGACAAATATTGTAGTCAAACAGTTTTTTTTTTGTTTGTTTAGTTTTTTCTGGGAAGTTGCATTAAAAGGTCTTATATTATGCAAAATGTACTTTTAAAGCTTTGTTATAATATTGTTATCTCATCAAAAACAATACCCTAACCCTAACCCTTGTGATGCCATGTAGTGGTAGTTTTCAAGTTAGCGGCTGCCTTTCACTTTTAGTTCAGTAGCGATAGGCAATTCCAGTGCTGAAGTTATCCAGATGAATAAAGAAGATGTTTGGAATTTAAAAACACTACATGTTATATGCATTGGGTTTTATTTAATGTAAAACAAATGTGTTACAGTAGGCTATATGTAGAAAACCAGAAGATTCTCTGAAGCAAAGAATAAACTGGAAGCTTAACTTAATCATGTTACTCAGTCAGAACTATATTTAAATGAACTTGAAGTTATAAAAAGTTGTAAAACATTGTAACAGGATTAAGAGTCTAGAAGCATCTCCACTCGTTTAGACTAACCACGAGAGGACTGAACTGTACTCCCTCTCTCCCTCCCCCTCTCCCTTACTTCCCTCTGTCTCTCACCCCCTCTCGTATCTCTTGCTCTTTATCTCCCAGCTAACCTTCACTAAATCTCCTCCACTTTCCATCTCTCTCGCTTCACTCAATTTTTCCCATGGTTCTTTCTCTCCCCTTTTCCCCATATCCTCTCTCTCTCCCCTTTGCCTGCCTCTTTTTTCTTTTCTCCCACTCTTCTCTCTCTCCTCTCTCCCCTCCTTCCCACTCTCTCTTCTCTCACCTCTTCTCCCTCCCTCTCTCTATCCCTATTACATAATGAGAATACTTCTAGTGGATAGCAGACACTACCAGAAGCGACTGTTGTGTAACTGTAGAAATGCCAAGAAATGTTGCAATCATCTATTTGCAGTATAGGTAGTATATTTTCTGAGCTGGGTCAAGTTACACTGCTTGCTTACTTTAAGTATTATTTTGAATGTATAACTATTTTTTTCCCAATTATTATAACATATAACTAACATTTGTTCTTATATTGTAATGTGTGAGCTACTGTGTCCAAGTAATTTTCCTTCTGAACTAGTCTAAGTAATATTACACACATTGATTAGATCTTTAATTTAATAATTTTAAAAAATCAGCTTGGCTTAAATTCATATCTTGATTTAAAGTGGCATTACGTAACTTTTCTGGTGGAGGGTTTGCTACCTGCTTGACTCCATGAAGTTATGTCATTGCTTTGCCTGGAATGTTCCACAGTATGGCATTAAACTTATCAATCTGGCATTTATTCTATTACACATACTTCTATTACTAAGAAAATACAGTCAATTCAAGTCATTTTAAATATGCACATGTAATATTTTTTGTGTCCATGGTGATGTTATTTACTTGACTGGAATATTCCACAGTATGACATTATACATATTTATCTTGCATTTATTCAGTTACAACTGTTTTCATTGCTCAAGAAACACGACTTCTTACTGTGAGAGGGATAGATATGTTTAATGCCATACTATGGAACATTTGAGGCAAAGTAATCACATCTCCATTAGGACAAACAGATGAAGAAGAAAACAAAGTGCACCTTTAAGCAGAGTAGGTATTTCAACTTATATTTTGGGGGTAATTATAAAGGAAGTAAGAAGCCATAAAAGCTGTAATAGTTTTACACTGGCACCTGTCTGTTTTTCGTTTCCTTGTCTGGCGCCTGGAGATGACAACAACATGAGACCTCACTTCACCCCTGTCCATTTGCCTGGCCTGACCCTCCTCCTCTCTCTCACTCACTCACCTCTCTCTATCTAGCAACAAAAAGGGCAGCGCTACAAGAAAAATATCCAGGAGAAAACCCACTTCAGCACAGGGATTGCTGTTTATACCTATACAAACAATTTATTGCTGGTTTGTGGCTTCAATGTATTTCTCTTTAGTTATCTGTGAGGGAATAAGTAAGGCTCTTTACATCATGGTATGGAGTGTCTGTAGCACTATTGAGAAGGTTCCAGAGTTGGCGCAATAATTACTATATCAACATATATGAAAGCTGGGAAAATATATTTCGGGGCTCAGTATTTATCAAGAGTATGTTTTCGTTAGTGGTGAGTTGTTGTTGTTTTTTTTTTTTTTATGATTTGAGCTGTTTAGGGATGACAAATATCCACTATTAATATATATTTTTTTCTACTAATTATTTGTTGTAGTTCAGGCCTTTTAATGAATGAGTGAAAACTGCTTTGCTGCAATTATCTTGCATTATTTTTATTGTGTTAGTAACACAGATTTGTTTCAGTAGCTGTGCTTGTGTGGGTTTCCTCTGTGCACTTAGATCTCCCTCATCATCCCAAAATATGCAAAATAGGAAAATCCTCCAGCTAAATTAGTCCTGACCAAGACTGGCTCAAAATCTAGAGATGGGAGCCCACATTGGCACCCACTCCTCCTGTGTATAGATTTTCCTACACTCTCCTAACAGGTTTAACCCTAAATGCATTGAAGGATGAGTCAAATGCAGAGGACATATTTCCCAACTTACTTTACATCTTAGCTTGCATCATTTGATTGTTGCGTACAGATTTTATTTTTTTTTATTATTTTGAGAACTGCATAGGTACACATAATACATTACATATATGGGTACATTTATGATTGGACATTGTATCACATTGCTTTGTCTTACTTACCCCTCATGTTCTTTAAGATATTGAGCAATAAAAGTCCCATAGAGTTGGCTACAATGCTTCAGACCACTGACAAAATATTACTTATTAGTCTTCTTTTTTTATCTACACCAATGACTGATTTTTATAGAGTTAACGCACATTTTAAGCCACATTTGAAACAGAAATATGTGATAAATTGAGAAAGACTGGCCTCTTCCCACACAACAAACCGACGCATGCGCTGTCCGTCACATCCGGGTCCCAGACAAGGATGAACGCCAACTTCCAAGATGGCGGCGGAGGGAGGAGGGAAGGAGACGAACGAAATTAAAACACAATTCACCACGAGAGAAGGCGTCTACAAACTCCTCACGCACTCCGAATACAGCCGGCCAAACAGGGTACCGTTCAACTCCCAGGGCTCCAATCCAGTTCGGGTTTCTTTTGTCAATGTGAACGATCAGTCTGGGAACGGAGACCGGATCTGCTTCAATGTGGGCCGGGAACTGTACTTTTACATCTACAAAGGCGTGAGAAAGGTAAACAACGCGCTCTGGCTGCATCTGCATGTGTAACTAGGGCTAAAGGAGCAACTAATGCAAAACCAAGGATTAAGTAGGTATAAATCATGGTGAAACTTGGGCTAAAACAGAGCTAAACCAAGTCAAAGTAAGATCTGAACCAGGACTAAGCCAGGTCTAAGCTAGGTCACAACCAGGACTAAACCAGATTTGTTAAATTGACAATTGACCTGGACTAATTAGGTATTCAAACAATGTCGTGTTAAGAAACTAGGTCTAAACCATTTCCAAGCAAGATCTAAACCAAGACTAAACCAGACATATTGAATCAGATATTCAAACTAGGTCTAGACCAGGTCTTATGGAAAAAACTAGGCATTCAAATCAGGACTAAATGAGGTATTGTGAAGGAGCTAGGTCTAAACCGGGTCAAAGAAGGATTTGTTCCAAGACTAAACCAGGTCCAAGGATGATTTAAACCAGGCCTAAACCAGATATGTTGAACCACAATTAACTAGGTATTCAAACCAGGACTAAAACAAGCCTTGCTAACAAACTCTGTCTAAAGCAGGACTAAACCAGGCTGAAGTAAAATCTGAACCAGGACTAAACCAGGTCTTAATAGGTCTAAACCAGCAGTATTAAGCAGAACCAAAAGGTAATAAAGCAATTCTTGATAGGATCTAAAATAGGTCAGAAGCAGGTCTAAAGAACAAACCTGGATAAAATCTGTTTAAATCAGATATTAAATCATATATTAAGATGGACTAACTAGTAGGTATTCAAACCAGGACTAAGCCAGATCTGAATAATAAAAATAAAATTAGGGCTTAACAAGGTCTAGAGAGAAAAAAATCAGTATTTAGGCACATCAAACCTGGGCTAAAGAATAAACTAGGACTTAACCAGTTGTAAGTCCAGATTTAAACCAGGTCAAAGCTAGATCCAACACAGGACTGAACCAGGTGTAAGCCAGGTCTTTTAGAATGAAGCAGAACTAGGAATAAACCATGAATCAAGACTAAACGTGAACTACAATTAGAATGCTGCCAAGACTGTATCTGTGTGAACTGTAGTCTAGTAAATACTGAAAATTCTGGTTATGTTGATTAACATTTGTTATATAACTCCAATAAACTCATGATAAAGCTTGCCGTTTTTAAACACATTTTATACACAATTCACAATATATTGCTATAGAGAAATATAGCAATAAACAATAATATTGAAATAACTTAACACTGATACAATAAAATAAAAAGAATCCCAGTAAACCATCTTTGAGTGCAGTATCATTAAAAAACCTGAGGTAAAGCAAATGAATAGTAGAACAAACCAATAATTAGTCCTGGAAGTTACTTTCTCAACTTTTAACTTTCTACAGCTCAAATCTATCTGTATTATAATTAGAAAATTGCAGAATCCTCCCCACTATAGCAACAAAAATATACAAATGATAAATAATATTGAGGCCCCAAAATATATTGCTCCAATTTTCATATACTGAACATCAAGTCAATAGTGTTGTAGTTATGTGAAACCACAAGCCTACCTGTCATGTGCAGTGGCATTTGTTTACATTAGCATCCAGATTTCTTTGACAGTCTCTTAGCCATGTCCTTGGTGTTTTCATTGTAAACACAGCTGCTGTGGAGTTCTTTAGATGTGAGGCAATGTGCTGCCGGCGTAACCTGTTTGTTTTGCCTCTTTCAAACTTGATTTTAATACTAAGGAATAGACTCACTTAATACTCAATACTGATTCCGATACCACGATGATGATAAAAAAAACACTCTTTATTTAGACAATAGAATGTGATTTCAACATTAAATAAGAGTTTTTATTTTATATTACCACATGGGCTTACCTGTGTAATCCTTTGATCGTCCAGGTATGTTCCATAGTGGTCCATCTCTGTGCTCTTATACTTGTTCTGATACTGCACAAGATCATTCTAAAGCTATTCATAAAAGGTTAATTTATATAATGTGAATGTGACTTGTTCAGTATTGATACCTGCTCCAAAGAGTACCTAGTTTCAATACTAGTTTTAGTATTGATTAGTATCTGATTTTCGATATTTTTGACAACTCTATAGGTAGCACAATTTGCTTTCAGAAATCTGTAAATAGAACTTCACATTACCATTTTAATTTCTTGCATCTGCAACTTTTACTCCATCTCAAGTTTTGACCTTGTGAGGGTGCTCCAAAAAGTCACAGAACTGTTTGAATGTAATTGCTGTAAAATGTCTTTGGCAGGAAGCAAGCCATAGATGCCTGAATTAATGCAGTTAGAATTTCCTGAGGGTAGCTTTGGGTTTGGAGTTATCTAATTATAATTGAGGTTAGTGGAAGTATTCAGCTTCTGTGAATCTGCACAAACAGCCAACTGTAATTTTAATTCATGCTCATTTCGCAGTGTTGTTTTTTTTTTGTTTTTTTTATGAAAGTAGAAACATTCATCCATGAATAGGCTGTGATGTCGCTCTTCCTCTTTTGATGCTTACCTTCCATGTGCAGTATTTAGTCTGGCAGTTTCTTTATTGTGCTGCAATCTCCAGGGACGTGTCCTGTTTTATTTGAGATTATTAAAAACATTATGGTCTTTGTTTGTGCAGGCGGCTGACCTGAGTAAACCCATCGACAAAAGGATCTACAAAGGGACGCAGCCAACGTGTCATGACTTTAACCCCGTCACTGCCACGGCCGACAGCGTGTCTCTGCTTGTTGGCTTCTCCGCGGGACAGGTGCAGCTCATCGACCCTATCAAGAAAGAGACCAGCAAACTGTTCAATGAGGAGGTGGGTCCACACACCCCTCTCTTTTAACTTGAATGTATTCATTCCGTTGTTTCTGTGTCTCCACAGAGGCTGATAGACAAGTCCAGAGTGACCTGTGTTCGATGGGTGCCAGGCTCAGAGACTCTGTTCTTGGTGGCTCATTCCAGTGGCAGCTTGTATCTGTACAATGTGGAGAACACGTGTGGCACCACAGCTCCTCACTACCAGCTGCTGAAGCAGGGAGAGAGCTACAGTGTTCACACCTGTAAGAGCAAGACCCCCAGAAACCCACTGCTGCGCTGGACCGTGGGCGAGGGCGCACTCAATGAGTTTGCCTTTTCTCCGGATGGGAAGTTCCTGGCCTGTGCCAGTCAGGACGGGTACCTGCGCGTGTTTGGCTTCGACGCAGCGGAGCTCCATGGGACCATGAAGAGTTACTTTGGGGGGCTGCTATGCGTGTGCTGGAGCCCAGACGGGAGGTACCTGGTGGCAGGCGGAGAGGACGATCTGGTCACAGTCTGGTCTTTCTCAGACTGCAGAGTGATCGCTCGGGGACATGGACACAAGTCCTGGGTGAGTGTGGTCGCATTTGACCACTGCACATCGAGTGTAGATGAGGGGGCGGAACTAAGTGGCAGTGATGACGACTGCCCAGAGCCCCCTTCAGGTAGAGACAGTCACTGCGGCCTCGCACACAGAAACTCCACAGACAGTCGGCCGCTCAGTGTCACATACAGATTTGGCTCTGTGGGCCAAGACACACAGCTCTGCCTCTGGGACCTCACTGAGGATGTGCTGTTTCCTCACCTGCCCCTGTCCCGCACTCGGACTCACACTAATGTCATGAGCGCCACCTGCCTGTCGGCCATGGGACAGACTGCTGCTGTACCCCCCTCTGCCCCCTCTTCTGCCCCCTCTTCTGCCCCCACCTCTGCACCTGGGGTCAACGGCAAAGACGACGGGAGCAACAGCAGCGCCAGTGGCAACTCTGCCAGCTCCCTCTGCAACAGTCTCCCCCACTCCACCCCCACAGGCACCTCCCCAGGCAGCAATACTACTACCACTACTACTACTACCACTACAACGACTACTACTAATACTATTACTACTAAGGGGAACAGTTTATTAGACAGCTCTTTTATTGCCAGCGGTGTTAGCAAGTTTGCAACCCTGTCTTTGCACGACTCTCGAAAGGACCGTCACGAGAAGGACCACAAGAGGAACCACAGTTTGGGAAACAGCCGGAGTAGTGACAAACTTCTCACGCTCGGCTCTGCTTCACGGACCAAACCAGAGCCCATGAAGACCCTGGGCACCATGCTCTGTCCGCGCATGGAGGAGGTGCCCCTGCTGGAGCCGCTGGTGTGTAAAAAGATCGCCCACGAGAGGCTGACGGTGCTGATCTTCCTGGAGGACTGCCTGGTCACAGGCTGCCAGGAGGGCTTCATTTGCACATGGGCGCGGCCGGGGAAAGTGGTGAGCGATCGGGCTGTGGAGGATACGCTCATGTGACAGACGGCATTGACCCGAGGATGAGATGAGAAGATGAAATTTGCAATACCTACTACGTAAAGGTGCACTGTGTATAACTTTGCTGGTGGGAGGGGTCTTAGGTCAGTCACAATAACAAAGTCTTAAGCCTGATATATTGCTACAGAGAAATATTGCGATAGTATTGAAACTACTTTATGCCACTGACACAATAACAAGAAAAATAAATAATAATCCTCACATTTCAGTTTTTAAATATAATATATGAGCTGCAACAAATAAATAACAATGAACTAATAATTTGTTTGTTTATATTCGCCCCTCTGCAGCTCAGATCTTACCTTTATTACATAAAGTTGCAAAAATCTCCTCATTATTGCAAAGAAATTGACCCAAAATATATTGTTCCAGCTGTTGTATTGATATAGTAATTATCGTGACAAACCTGGGACAGCTACCAGCTTGGCATGTACTTCACCAGTAAAGTTACATAGTGCTGCTTTAAAATGACAAGCCAATTCTCCCTGTACACATTTGATAATATTTTAAAATTGAAATTGTACTCACAATAGGGCTGAATGATTCAATCGAAATTGCAATTTGAATGGCGGAAATTATGTACAAATTTAAAACTGCTGTTATTTTTATTTATAAAACCAGCTGCTAAGCTTGTATTTGAGACTTCTACAAACATGTTCTGAAACCATTTTTGTATTAGTTTAGCAAATGTTGTGTTCTTCCAGATTTGAATTTAAAACGCACATTGCCGACGTCTACTTATACAACAAAAGACTATATATATTGGATGATTATTTGTCAGCAGTTTTTAAATTATTCAGCCCTAACTCCTCCTTTGTGTTATTAATGCGTCGTTGTCTTTCTACACTGCAAAAATATATCTCGATTTGTTAACATTATTTTAATTCAGAATAGAATTTTTAGTTTGACTTGACTAGCTCAAATATGCAAGATAATTTGACTTTGAAGTAATTATGCTTTTTTAAATATTGCTTCTCATTTTAAGCAAAATTATCTGCAAATTTTTTAAGTTTTTGTTATATATATATTTTAAACCTGTTTAGTGGATTAGTCATTATCACTCTTTATACTGAATTATCCTCATCTATAGGTCTTCCTCTTATAGGTACATGAAACTATATATCAAAACCAAATACCAAACAATATTGCAATTTCAAGTCAACTTTTATAGATTTTTTTTTTTTGCAGTGTAGAGATACAGAAATTATAAATGTTTTCAGCACCTATTAACTGCTGTCTCTTTAAATTCACTCAGCAATTTGTCTAAAACAGGGTTATAATATATTTAAATTATTACTTTCCCATCTCATGTCAAATTCTATTATTTTCACAGCAAAAAAACTAAATTGTGACTTCAGAATCTTAATTTGAATAGTTTAGATTTATGTATTTATTAGGCGTAGATTATGTGCAAAGCTGTTTTACCCCAACATTAAGAAGATTGTGTGTTTTCCTGTTTAATAGAAATATGCTAAAGGAATATCCACAAATGTTGAAGCTGATCTTTTAGATTAAACACTACATGGATGTAGGAGACTGGGGGGGAGAGGGTAATCAAGGCCCTATAAGTAATGCAATCTAAACTAGTCAAATCAAAACAATATTCTGAAGTAATTTTAACTCGTGATTTTTGTTTTTGCAGTGTGTACGCTGTAAAAATGTCTACCCAGTCTTTGTGCCTGTAGGTCTGAAATGGTGACTCTTCTTCCATCTAAATGTTGATGTCAAAGATCTTCCCAAACCGTTATTTTAACAATCATTCATGCACAAAGGGAATGGACGAAGGAATGACCACTACACGGACTATTACAATCTCATTCGGGGCAATCATATTCTGTACTAAAGAATATCAAGTTGACATGACTTGAATTCTGACTGTTCAATTTATCACGATTGACCTAAAGTGGAAATAGTTTTTAAGATATATTTTTCTTAATTCCAGTTTAAAGGCCCCTATTATGCTATTTTCTGATCACAGTTTCCGCATCACAAACATATCTAGACTTGTTTTGTTTCATTCACACATATTTAAAAGACAAATGCTGCATATTTAGGCTGAAATCTTCACAGAAAACACTCTGTTCCACCTTGTGATGTCATGTGGGAATATAGGAAATGCTTCACTGTGTTTTTAAGATCCACACTTTGAGCTTTGGAGATACTCAAACATGTGAGAATGAAACAAAACACAACTCCACGTATATTTTTGAGAAAGAAGAAACATAACATAAATTAGAAAATGGTATTCTGAATTCAAGTCATTTCAACTCAATTATTTGCACAGATTTTGTCATTTCTTCTTGTTATGAAATACGAATACATTACAGTGGACACAAGCAAAAGTATCAAAAGCACTGGGGGATTAGCTTGTTGTCGCCCTCTAGTGTCAATGCTGGATGCTGCAATCGTAGTTTTTTATACAGATGTTCGAATAATTTGCACTTATTAATAGTTTGGTAGAGGAGTATGGCTTTACAATTTACAAAACATATAAATAGATAAAAAAAAATAAGTTTGTATCTATTAAAGGTTTATTTTAATATTGTTTGAAATTAAATGAGCTATGTAAATATGTGTAAATAACGGACTTGGGTGAAACTAGTTGCGAGTTTTTGACAGGAAATCTTTAGGTGATATTGAATTTTGAATATTCAGGTGAAACTGTGTATTTGCTGATGTAAATATAGAGATTTCAGGTGTATTTTTATGACTTAAAATAATAAGTTTGGTATCGGAGAGGTCTAAGGATCCTCTTGTTAACAGGTAGGACTACACTGCACAAATATGTCTGCATTAGTTAAAATGGCTTGAATTGAGAATATTAATCTTGATTTAAGTGCTTTTGACTAATTTGGATTTCCCTGTTGATTTTACTTAATATTTTTGCGTAATCTCAACATTATTTTTGAATTGAACCAATTACTTCAATAAGGCATTCCTTTTTTTTTAATTTCATGTGCAATTTTCTAACTTTATGATTGGATATTTTTGCTTAAAGAAAGAATCAATGTGTTAAAACCAATCAAATATTTTTTTAACAGTTTTATAACAATTTGGGTACAACAGTAAGATGATAATGTACTGGTAAAATCTACTCAAAAATTAATATTAAAATTCTGAATTCAAGTCATTTTAACACTGATAATAAACTTTTGTCAGTCACCTTTTTGAGCTCAGGTATTGTATTAGAAACTGCAGTATAGCGCCACCTGTTGGGGTGTCTGAATCTCACCTGGATTAACAAATCCATGAGATTACTGTAAAGAAAATATATCTACACCAGTAAAATGACTTGAATTTAAATCATCTGAGTAGTTTTGATTAATTGATTTACTACATGATTTGGCATTTCAATACATTTTTGATGATTTCACCATTTTGTTTTGTTTTTTTGGTTGGTTGTTTTTTTCAGAGCAAAATCAAGAAGCCAGCCAAATGAGTAAAATCCTTTTTCCAACAATTGCACTTGGAATTAAATTAAAATAAAGAAGCAAATTATTTTAACCTTGTAATTAAAAAAGTTAGCTATATTGAAACCAGTAATCAAATTAAATCCTACTAATTCATGTCATTTTACCTCCTGGTGGCTATATTTTTTGCGATGTGTACTCTTCTGCAGACAGGGCTAAATGTGTGACTTGGTTTAAATGCTGAATAAACTGACACTGTGTGATTTACCATAGGAGCATGAGGAGCCTCTTCCCCTCGTGTCAAGCCTATTAAAACTGCTTCAGATCACTGGACTCTGCCTCTTTCTGTGCATTTTTATTTTACTCAAGACAGACACTTCAAATGGTGTATTCAATATAGACATTGAAAAGTGCATTATAATTGTTACAGGTGCACTGAGTAACTTTACTGGTTAAAACTTTAACTACCTGCTTGTTTCCATGGTGATGTAATTTTTGCCTGGAATGTTCCTCCATAAGGTCCCATGAGCCAAGCAACTGTAAGAAATACCTGTTATCGCTATTGGAACTCATCAAATAAATATACTGGCTGCCCCTCATTCCACAATCAAAAAGAACCGCTGTGTCTGCTGTGTGTCAGCAATATGCACTATTTAGTCCCATGTAATGCTTGTAATTCTTGTCCTGCTTTGTCGTATTTGCTCAGCAGGGGGCAGTAATGATAAAAATATTACAGAATGTCCGTGAAGCGGATTGCTCTTATATAATTTATCAGGCCTTTGGGAAGAAATACCAACACTGCACCTTTAGAAACAATGGAGCTCTGCAAAAAAATGTCTGTGCAGATCTGAAAGTACTAAACCTGGACTACACACGGACTAAACCAGAACTAAACCATGCAGGAACTAATCACGAGTGAAGAAATGGATGGAAAAATCAGGACTTAACCAAATAAGGTCTAAATCAGCACTTAAAGTTCCTACATAACACGTCTCAAAAACATACCTGAAGTTGTGTTTTTGTTTCAATCAGTCTGTCTACATCTCCAAATCTCAAAATGCTCTGATCTACCTTGTGATGTCATGAAATGGTAGTTTTCCAGTTAACAGCTATATTTTACCTTTTTTTTTCAGTAGAGATTGTCAATTCCAGGGCTGAAATTAGTCAAATGACTCTAGTATGGAGTCCTACTATGACGATCACGAGGTGTTTTCTGTTTGAGAGAAGAATATGGGGCTTTAAGAAGAGATTAAACCATAAAATAACATAGAATTAGACATAAACCAGAGTTAAATTTGGTCTGAAAAGGACAGGACTATGTGGACTTGTGGCTGATATTATTTCTTATTAAGGTGGGTGGGGCTAAAGGTTCAAACTAAAACATGTTCCTGACTCATGGTTTGAGATCAACTACAGGCACTTTAATTCATTTAGATTTATTGCAGCCAATGTAAAAATAAAGTTTGTACTAAATGCTGAATTAGAAACTTTTTTCCTTCAGTCTGGCAGAGCACAATGATACTTGTGTGAGAGGGAGTGTGAAAAGTCCATGCTGTCTCCTGTCAGTCTCATCCCATCTGTCATGCCAATATCTGCTGAAATACTGAGGTCCAGTTTAGTCCCGGTTTAGTCCTGGTTTAGACCTGGTTCATCCGTGATACAATATTGTTTTTAACCTGGATCAGGCCTGGTTAAGTCCTACTTAGACCTGGTTTAGTCTTGGTATTGGCCAGAAAGAACAAAATATGGGGGAATTTGTGTATCATTCGTTCATTCATTTTTTAAAATAAAGCCAAAAATAAGAAAAAAGAAAAAAAAAACACAATTGTTTTCTTCGTTATTTGTCTCCACAACCAAAATGTAAAAAACCAAAAAACAAAAAAAAAAGACAATGATTAGTTGTTTTTTTCCCCCCCAATTTTGTGTTTAAATGAATAATGGAAAAACAGCAGTTTCCCGTTTTCGTGACTTAAACTGCGACACCGGACTTTTGCACCACATACGGACTAAACCAGAACTAAACCAGGACTAAAACAGGACTAAACCAGGACTAAAACAGGACTGAAACAGGACTAAAACAGGACTGAAACAGGACTAAAACAGGTCTAAACTGGTCTCAATCCCGGTCTGATCACAGTCTCAGTCCTAAACAGGACTAAACCAGAACTGAATCAGGACTAAACCAGTACTGAACCAGGAGTGTCGGTACAGGCCCGAAGGTGTGCCCACGTAGACTGTCAGGTGACCAGGAAACCGGGACTGAGACCGGGACTGAGACCGGTTTAGATCCGGTTTAGACCTGGTTTAGTCCTGTTTTAGTTCTGTTTTAGTCCTGGTATAGACCTGGTTTAGTCCTGTTTTTGTTCTGTTTTAGTCCTGGTATAGACCTGGTTTAGTCCTGGTTCAGTCCTGAATCATTTAAGTCACAGAAACAGGAACTCTGTTATCTGATTTTTCCGTATTCACTTAAACACCAAATTGAAGACTGAAAAAACAAATCATTATCGTTGGAGGACCTGCTGCTTTGTCACCATGAAGATGTTGTTGCTTTCCTTATGCTTTACAGAATGGCTTTAAAACGTATCAGCGGCTAACACATTTCAATATTGAATTCTTAGTTTAAGTAAAATATAATCTGCTCAAGGACTTAATTAACAACCTCTGAAATGAAACAGCTATTTGCATGATCCAATAATGTGCATGTAATAAATGAATAAATATTTTTTTAATGCAAATCCATATTTTAAAACGAAATAACTCATAAACATGCCTCTTTGCGTCAGCCTCCATATTGATTATTGTGTGTGGATCTGTGCCGCGGGGAAATACAGAGGCGTTCTTCTTAAATGAGAATTCAATAAATCTTGGTTTAATGGCGCAGCTCTCAGTTTGAATAAATCATTGAGTTATGACGCTGGTCTCACATTCTCGGAAAACTGACCTGTGTTTTGTTTACACTGCAGTGTCCAGTCTGCACCTGGGAATGTGACGTAGTCTGGATGAGGTCTATTTTAAAATACAATGTATAGACTAACGCTGTGTTCACTTTTGTATTCAGCGCTTCAAAATCAGGACTAAACTGCGACTATACGAGGCTTAAACCAAGATTAAGCCAGAAGTTAACCAGGTCTGAATGAGGGCAAAACCAGGTCTAAACTAGACAAAACCAGGACTAAACCAGGACTAAACTAGGTGAAACCAGAACTAAACTAGGGCTAAACCCAGACTAAACCAGGTCTAAACTAAGGCTAAACCAGGTTTAAACTAGGGTAAACCAGAACTAAACCAGGACTAAACCAGGGCAAAACCAGGTCTAAACTCAGGATTAAACTAGGTCTGAACTAAGGCTAAACCAGAACTAAACCAGGTTTAAACTAGGGCTAAACCAGGACTAAACCAAGTCTAAACTAGAGCTAAACCAGGTCTAAACTAGGGTTAAACCATGACTAAACCATGTCCAAAGCAGGTCTAAACCAGGACAAAACCAGGTCTAAACTACGGCTAAAGCAGGACTAAATCAGGTCTAAACCAGGTCTAAGCTAAACCAGAACCTAACCGGGACTAAACGAGGTCTTTAATGGGCAGCCTGCATGTATCTCTTATATTATTGACCCTGTGTTTTGTTTACCCTGCACCGATGTCTATGCAGTACTTATGAATGATTTAAAAGGCCCCACAGCCCTGCACCAAGAGTGACTGAGGCTCTGCTGATCTGCCCCCATTCTCAGCGCATTATGGTAACTATTGATGTCTATTGTTTTAAGACAGCATAGGCAAGCATTTTTATTGATACTTTGCGGCGACATCGAGCTGGGGGTGTTCTACGTGTACGTGTATTGGCAGAATGTTCACAAGTTACCATGGAGACACAATGCGCATAAGCAAACACTGCCAAATAAGTTTCAGATGGTCTGAAAACTCAAGAAGAAACACAGAATGGATTTAAACAGCACATTTTTCAGGAGCCTGGGATCAATAGCGTTAATGGTCCTTAAAATTTAACACTCAGAAAGAGCAGTGCTTACAGTTAGCGTCACAACCCCAGGGGAATGCTGATGACATGAGCTCCAAAGTATCAATATTTAAGAAAAAGGAGGGGGAGAAACTATTGTTCAAAAAGGACTAAACCAGGATCTAAACCAGGACTAAATCTGGGCTAAACCATAACTAAATAAGGAATAAACTGGGACTGAACCAGGACAAAAATAAACCAGAGACAAAACCAGGGTCTAAATTTAAAAGTGCACAATGATTTTTTTTTTTTTCTGATAGAGAGTTTGCCGCCTGCTTGTCTCTATGGAGATGTTAGAGCTTTGCCAAGAATGTTCCACAGTATGGCATTGATCTTCATGGAGACAGACCCGGGTGACAGACAATACTAGATCAAGTTACAGGTTAGATCTGTGGAGATGTGTTCCCCGGTGTCCTGATGCTAAAGCTGTTCTCATCCAGCTCATCCCTGAGGTCTCGGCCTAATTATTACAACATCAAATTGTCTTTTTCTAAGTCAAGGAATCTCTCATACTGCTGCTGTGTCCTTGAGCAAGACACTTCACCAATCTTACTTGTAAAACTTAACTTGTTTGTTTATTTAAGTTTTGTATAGTGACAACTGTATTCTATCTATGACATTTCTTTAACTGTAACAAAACTGTAATTCACTTCCTATTTTGTAAGTGTAATTTAATGCCATACAGTGGAACATTCTAGGTGGTAGGTGTTAGACTCATCACCAGAAAAGTTACATATTGCACCTTAAAAACAGTAAAATAGGTCCTGTATTGTGCAAAATTGACTCTTGTGAGCTTTTAAAATGCTGTCCTGAAAAACATACCCAGAGTTTTGGTTAGATTACACAGTAATTCTTTATAACCTATTAATATATCTATAATATATACCATACCATACTCCATACAACTGTACAACAACTCACCTTATGTACAACTTATGTACAACTGCACAACAATTCACCCTTATGTAATGGATAACTCTATGTCCTGGCAATCATCATATCATTGTTGGACTGTCTTCCTATGATCTCTTAGCCAGGCTGGCGCCACCTAGTGCCTCCGCTCAACTTCATTTCTCTCCAGCGACTAGGTCAGGAATCAAAATACACTAGATGGTTCACAAAAAACCCAGAAGTGCGAGTTCGGGCACCAGCCAATCAGTGAAGAGCCATATATTCAGTGTTGTCAATGATTATCGAGGATTTAAAGTCAGTTAGTCCCGTTAGTGGCTCATTACATACGTCATGACCAAATAGCAGTGTTTAAATGATAAAAAGGACCCGCCTGCTGTCGAGCGAACGAAATCTAATGCTGCAAGGTCAGACGGTTTGTACGAAGTGAAACAAGCTGATGAATCAGGCTAATGACCTCTTGTATAGAGCTGAGATTTTATATTTTATTACTTATCTTTCTATTTTATTTTGACTTATACATTTACATTTATATAATTATGTCTTTTTTGACACCGGTCTCTTGCTATCCTTTTTGCTGCTTATTTAAAATGTATTATTAACATTTATATTTTCGCTCTTTGTTATTATATTATATTGTGACGTGTGAGCTACTGTGTCCAAATAATTAAGTTAAATAAGTTGATCTAAATCTAAGTCTAAATCTAATTTGTCTACATCACCAAAGCTCCAAATGCTCTGTTCTACCTTGTGATGTCATGTAGTGTGAGTTTTCAAGTTTTCAGCAGCTCCTTTTGCCTTTAGTTCAGCAATGATTGACAATTCCAGGACTAAAACCATCCAACTGCTACTAGTGAAGGTGTAGAAGTTTAAAAACACCGTGGAGCACTTCCTGTATTACCACATGACATCACAATGTGGAATAGAGTTTTTTCTGTTTGAGAGAAAACTTCAGCCTAAATATGCATGATCTGTGAGTTAAAAATGTATGAATGAAAGAAAACACAACTCCAGGTCTGTTAGTGATGAGGAAACAACATTATAACAGAGATCAGAAAATAGCGTAACACAGGCCCTTTATTCTTCTTATAGACAGTAGTCTCTTTGAGCAGTGCAGGTGAATTGAACTGTGTAGGAAGCTATTGATTTCCAGTGGTGGTCTAAGCACTTTAAATGTAAATGTGACGTGAGCTGCTACAAACTTGTAACAGCGTCTATGGGGAGAGGTGCAGCCAAGGGTGCAGCAGGCTAATGCATACACTGACAGAAGATTGGAGTTCATATAATAAAACAGATCCACCTCACTGCATTTTCGGGCTCTAGTCAATTAAAAGACCCATATTACACTATTTTCTGTTCTGTTATAATGCTGTTTCCTCACTGAAAACATATCTGGAATTGTGTTTCGTCTCATTCACGTTTGACACACAAGTCCTGTACATTTAGACTGTGTTCTTTTTTTAGTGGGACAAAGTGGTGTCTCCAAAGATGTCTTCCTCTCTAATTTGCGCTATAAAAACGTCTGACTAATTATGGACGGCCCAGTGGGAGTTAACCAATAAAGTACTGTCTAAAGCGGGACTGAACTAGGTCTAAAACGGTAATAAACCAGGACTAAATCAGGATCTAACCCAGCGCTAAAGCAGGACTGTCCTAAAAAACATCGGGGCTGAATCAGGACAGAACCCAGACTGAACCCAGACTAAACAAGGACTAAACCAAGACGAAACAAGGTGGGGAAAAAATCCAGTTTTACAGAAGGACCTACCCGGCATTAAGAGAAGGACTAACCCAGGACTAAACCAGGTCTAGACTAGGACTAAATAGGGCTAAACTAAGACTAAATCTGTACTGAACCAGGTGAACCAGGACTAATCTGGAACTAGACCAAATTACGATTAAACCAGGATTGAAGGTTGAAAGAAATAAAAACAGATCTGAACAGGCCAAAGCCAAGAACCAAAAACTAAAAGAAGGACTAACCCAAGACTAAACCAGGTCTAGACAAGAAATAAATAGGGCAAAACTAAGACTAAACCTGTACTGAACCAGGACTAAACTGGGACTAGGCCAGATTAGGATTAAACCAGGATTGAAGTTGGAAAAAAGATCTCAACTGAGCAAAACAAAGAACCAAAAACTAAAAGTAGGACTAACCCAGGACTAAACCAGGTCTAGACTAGGAGTAAATCTTAAACAAGACCAAGACAACAGAGACTAAAACCTTTACAGAACTAAACCAGAACTAAAGCAGAGTGAAACAAAAGGGATTTAACAGAGCTAAACCAAGACTAAACCTGGACTAAACCTGACCAGATTAGCACTAAACCAGGACTAAACCAGGTCTAGACTAGGAATAAACCTTAAACAGGACCAAACAGGGACTAAAACCTTAACAGGACTAAAGTAGAGTGAAACAAAAAAGGACTAAATAGGTCTAAATAAAGACTAAACCTGGGCTAAACCAGGACTGAATGTGGAAATGAAAAAAAAAAAACTAATTAAGAAAAAACAAGGTCTGACCAAGGACTAAATCAGGACCAGACAAGAACTTAAAGAAAGACTAACCCAGGACTAGACTAAGACTAAACCAGGACTAAACCAGGTCTAGATTAGGATTAAACCTTAAATAGGACCAAACAGGGACTAAAACCTTAACAGGACTAAACCAGGTCTAAAGCAGAGTAAAACAAAAAAGGACAAACAGGACTAAACCAAGACTAAACCTGGACTAAACTTGAACAGATTAGGACTAAACCAGGACTGAATGTGGAAAAAAAAATTTAAAATAAATAATTAGGGAAAAAAACAAGGTCTGACCAAGGACTAAATCAGGGCCAGACAAAAACTAAAAGAAAGGCTAACCTAGGACTAAACCAGGACTAGAATAGGCCTAAATCTTAAACAAGACCAAACCAGGACTGACGCAGACTGACTGACGCAGAGAGTGAAACAAAAAAAGAACTAAACCAGGACTAAACCCGGACCAGTTTCAGTTCATACTCATTTTCTACCATTTAACAAAAAGAGACACATGCTTTGGTTTAGTATATTGTTGTTAATTACATTTTACAAAACATAGCAGACTCGCCAGGATTCACTTGTTTCAGTGTAAAGACATTGTGTTAAAGATGCCAAAAATTCAACATTCATTTTTATTTGGAACAGTCCGATAAAACAGGCAATATAAGAGTAGTTCATAAACTTTAAAAGGCTTTCAATATAAGGGATGCAAAAGAGAAAGTAACACACTGCAAAAACCAATACGGAGTTTAAATGACTTGAATGAACAAAATTTATCTTGATTTAAAGGGGCACTGTGTAACTTTTAAGTTGAGGGTCCATCACCTGCTTGTTTCTATGAATAAGTCATTGCTCTGCCTGGAATGTTCTACAGTGTGACATTAAACAGTTTTATCTTTCATTTATTGAATTACAGGTGGTTTTATAGCTCAAAAATACTCCGAAAAACAGGCATTCTGACTGTGAGCGGGGTCGCCTCTCCATAGATCTGACCTGTAGCTTGGTCTGGTTTGGTCTCTATGAAGACAGAAAGGTTTAATGCCATACTGGGAAACATTCTAGTCGAAGCAATAACATCTCCATGAAGACAAGCATTTGACAGACCCTCAACCAGAGAAGTTACACAATGCACCTTTAAGTAGTTTAGGCTTGTCAAGATGTTTGCGCATTTATTGTATGGTAGTTACAAGATATTTTTTCCCCAATTTCAAGGTAACCATGGCAATTTGGGCTGCAAAAATAATAATGATTAAAGCAAAATTGGTATTAAAGTTACCTAAAGGCTCTGTAACCAATTTTCCAAGTATATGAGCAAAATATTCCTTGCCATAGTACAAATATATTGTATAAGCAGCTCTTGAGGTCAAAATAAATCTGCTGTGTACTGTCTGTATCTAAATATAAAGCATTTTAATGTCTGAGAATCAAAAAGGATATGTTGTGTGTTGTTGTTGTTTGCCTAGATTCACTGCTGTGAATAATTAGGATGTACATGTCAATGAATTTAAGTAAAAAATAAGTTTGGACCACTGCAAATAGTTTCAAATAAAGTAGTTCTGTTTTTCACATTTTTCAGACAGTAAAAATCAGATACAGCTCCTTTTGAAGTTTTTCATTAACAACAACTTAATCTGTTTCCATGGCATCTTGTAAGCAAAATATTAGTATTATTCTAGTACTTAGTTAACTTAATTAATGTACCAGTCTTCTGTCCAAGGTTTAAAATTTGAAAAGAAAAATTGCTTGATATTTTCATAACATCTTTCAAAGCCCTACAATTTAAAAAAAAAATACACATTGAACCAAAAACATCTTAATTTGAAGACAGATTTTTTTCTATCCAAATAAGACAATTATATCTTGAAACTAAATAAACAAGTTTAAATGTAGTGAAATACTCAAATCCCAATCCTAATCCATGTCATTCAAAATCTATATTAGCTTTTGCAGTGTTGTATAGAAGCAAGTATAAGGTCATTGTAAACGAACATAACTTTTACACAGTTCATGATCCCTGATGTCTCCCCAGCCTCCATTTTTCACATGCGGAGCCACGCCCCCCGCCCCGTTTCCAGGAAGTCTTTTAGTGATCAGGAGATTTTTGGGAAACAGCTGATTCCCGCTGCTTTGGAGAATATTCTCTATCTTGGTTTTCTGGCTAATCGGCATGCACGCAGTTTTCTTATGATGCATGCCACAGTCTCCAGCGTGAAAGATTCTTGGAGCTTCACTGACCATAACTTTCCAATAAGAAGGCAGGCAAGACACTGTTAAATGTTGTAAGCTCCAGTCCCAGTTGTAGTCGTCGTAAGTGCAAAAAGTGTCCGTGCATTTGATGAGTTTTTCGTAGGTTTCCCTAGTCAAAGCCATCCCCATGTTATGCTCTGTTGACTTCCATGGTTTGACTTCCACTTTGTTGGCTTTGCTGGAGTATCCGATGTGGCTGTAGCTACCCAGAGAGAGGATATCGCAATCTGAGCAGTGTTCTTTCTTCATCCCAAACATGAGCTTCAACAAATGGATAAAATCGGCAGAAAGGTAGTGATCTTCCTCGACGAGAAGAACCAAACCTTGATGATCTTTAAGTGCGTGAATTCTGTCCCATACAAAATGCAGTTTCCACCACCAGTGATGTTTCGTCTGGGAGAATTTCGCCTCGCGGTAGTGCCCAAAGGAATCCGGGTACTCTGCGTTGATGCAACCCAGTTTTAAGGCGTCTTTCTTGGGTATATCACGTGGGCAGTCCCTTGGGTCATGCCCGGGAAACTCGTGTGGGTACAGCTGGATGCTAAAAGGAAAGAAAATCTGCAAAACTTGGCAAAAATCCACCGACGAAACCACTTTGTTGATCTCCGGGGACCAGAAATCATGACTGAAAATTAGCAGTAAACTCTCAACTCCTCTCGCTTTTCGTAAACTGTCCACTAGTAATTTAAGGTAGTCCGGACGGTTGTGGACTTGCACCACCACTACGAGATCATCCTTTTGCCGCGCCGCCTTAAATTTATCCTCATTTCTTATAATCTGGTCAAAGTTGAGCTGGAAAACAATGCCCCTGTATACTAAAGTGGTATTGTCCATATCTGGCTTGGGTACCTTGTCACCCTTGGGTACCTTTTCCTCTTTGTCCTTCTCTGAGTGGGTGTCATTTTGGGCAACAGGAAGTGCGACTGGTGGCTTACTGGCAGCTTGCGTAGCTTGCACTGGTATATTCTTAATGCTACTACTACTACTACCAACAATACTGCTTCTTCGAACTACCTCCACCTCTTTAGAAAACAAGGCAACATCAGTTTTCTTCTGTCTTCCGCTGCTCCAAAAGGCAAGCCCGCAGATCACAACCACCAGAGTCACTATCACCACCTTTCTCTTATAAATTCGGAATCTCATGATAGGAAGAAGGCGGTATAAAAATAGTGCAGGCGGGTTATAAAAAAAAAAAAAAAAAAAAAAGAAGCAGCTATGTGGCTACGTTTTGGCAAAAATCGGTAAACATTGATCCCGGAGGAACCTCATTGGTCGGGGATGATGTAAGGCATGGCAGGTGGGAGGCAGCGGGGTGGACTTTTGCGCCGATCACCTACGACACAAAAATCAATACATCAGGATCAATCAGACAGTAAGAAGCTTCAGTATGGTAAGCCTACACGGGATGTCAGTCAAATAAGATCAGTATTTAGATGGGAGAATGTGGTGATGTCCTTCTGTTGCAATTATATGGCATTGTACTAAAGGGCCCATATGATGCTATTTTCTGATCTATGTTATGTTGTTATGTTGTTTCCTCATCACAGATATACCTGGAGTTTTGATTTGTTTCATTCACACACGTTTCACACACACATTTAGGCTGAGTTGCTCTCTCAAATGTTCCCTCAAACACTCTGTCCACCTTGTGATGTCATGTGGCAATATAGGTGCATAAGTTTTGTTACTCCATACACCTTCACTAGAATGATTTCAGCACTGGAATTGTGAATCTATACTGAACAAAAGGTGAAAAGGTAGCTGTTAACATAAAAACTACCACTATATGTCATCACAAGGTGGAACAGAGCATTCTGAGCTTTGGAAATGCATACAGACTAATAATAAATTGTTACAAATGGTTCAAAATTTAAGAAAAATAAAACACAACTCCAGATATGGTTTTGATAAGACATTCTAACATTCTAAAAGTTCACAAGTCAATTTTGCAGAATGTAGAACCTTTAAAGGAACTGTATGTAATGCTCTTACAGCAATAAATGTGTTACAATCATAACTGAACTTGGGTAGCCAGACAAAGGACATATTTAAGTTCTCATTATTTGCTTTATAATGTGAATAGCTCAGAAGCTCCAGAATTCCCTCACTGAGCTGCAGAGGTTGCACTAGCACTGATTCATGATTGGCTGCAGATGCTGGGGTTGAGGTAGTGACCATTCAGATCAGAGAGAGTCCTTTTAGGTTTAAGCCCGCTGGATTTGAGCATTGAAACTGGCAACCCAAATGATAGACTCATTATCAAACTGTAACAAACAACTTCATCATGTCCAATGTTTTTGTAATTAAGAGTAAATCAGCATTACAAATGTTATTAGTAAGCGCTATATTTGATTTGCAAATCTACCTTGTAACTGAGTGCACAAATAGGTCACATTTATGAAATCTAAAATCCAAATCTTACACATGTTTCTAAGGCCAAAGGAACATCTACAAATTATGAACCTGATTATTATTTTGTCATGGTCCATTATCCTTCTATAGAAATCCCAATAGCCAATATATTTTACCTGGCCTTGTTCAAAGTAACACTATAATACTATGGGGTGTTGTGAAGTCATCTGAAAATTTGCAATAAGCACATTTTCTTTTTTTTTTCTTTTTTTACTACCACAAAATATCTAAAACTCGATAAAATGAACTAAAATTTTTAAGAGAGACAGGCACATCATTTATAACAAATTAGAGCTATTCCTTTTGCGAGATGAAGCATTGGACTTTGACCAAAATTGCAATTATAAAATCTTTTATCTTATCTAGTCTGATTCACATTAAGTCAGTTCATGTGGCTATACATACATACATGCATACATACATACATCATAATATCAATAGCTCCTCCACTTTAAATGCATTATAATTATCGATCAGCCTATACTGTTCAGCCATTACACTTGCATATATATTTAAAGGCAAGTTTCATGTTTCTAAAAACATTTTATCTGTGTGAGCTCAAAACACAGACTGTATGGGTGAAAAAATATGTATTATTATTATTATTATTATTATTAAAAAGTGCATTGTGTACTTTTTGGTTCATCACTTGCTTATGTCTATGGATATGTCATTGCTCTGCCTGGAATGTTCCACAGTACAACATTAAACAGCTCTACCTTACATTTATTCAATTACAGGTCGTTTACTTGCCCAAAAATACAGAGAAAAGCAGAAATTCTGACTGTGAGAGGGGTTACCTCTCCACAGATCTGACCTGTAATTTGGTGTGGTCTCTTCATGAAGATAGAAAGGCTGTGAAACATTCCAGACAAAGCAATAACATCTTCATGGAGAAAAGCATTCGACACACCTTCCACTGAAAAAGTAACATAACGCAACTTTAAGAATTAAATATAGGGTAAAAAACCTAAAAATAATTACTGGTAAAATGATGTTAGTGCAATGTCAATTAGAGCATAGTATATCCAATAGACTGAGTAAATAATTATAGGCTTTAAGATACAATATAGATACATTTTATTACGAACCATGACACAATTTAAATCACTCAACAACTTGTCATCAGGAACCTTCCATTTAAATGATAGTATTGTATAAACATGAAACGTGTCATACTAGATAATGCGCTTTTACGCACACAACCGTTACCGTTATACCTGTATATCGTATTGCCTTCTTCCTTATCTTAATTGTATTGTTCAGTCGGTTTCTCCCGCTGCAGATGTTAAGCCACAACACAAAACCGCTGCATTTTCTACCAGTTTCTCTGGATAACGCCTGAACATGACAGATACATGTTTACAACTGGGTCCTTTCACTGGGTTGATAACACGTCAAATGTTATTAAAATGTGAATTAAGATTAGTTTATAGTTGGTGCCTTGCTTAGAATTTGACACACGCAAGAATTCAACAGCTTTTTCCGTATTTGGCGTGAAAATAACATGCTATTACGCGCACAATTTGGAAGGAATGCGTCGTACGAGAACGCATTATGATAGCATTACTTTGTTTATGTGACAAATAAGGTGGATCTCACAAATGCTAACCTGATTAGCACTGCCTCGGCTAGCCGTAACTTGCAGGAACACCGTAGCAGCGCCATCGTCAACAACAAATGCTAACGCAAGCAAAGAAGCAATGTTTCCCATCGCGTAATTACCTTTAGCGCAGTGCTAGTGCCGTCCTCTTTAGTGCGTAATATCAACACGGAGGCTTGCCATTCTCCTCCACGGCTCCCATCTGGCTGCATGGAGGCACGACTATCGACTGGTGGTCGTGAAAAAGCCCAAAACACTCGAACCGCTGTCTGCCGCTGTCCCACAATGCAATAGTGCCAGAGAGAGAGAGAGAGAGCGCAGAGAGAGGGGCGAGAGAGAGAGGAGAGTGGGGCGCACCAAACTCAGTGCACGGAGTCTACACAGAAATCATATATCTTCTGCTGACAGCCCCAGAAAGACTGGACTCGGATACGTTTACAGCCCAAAGGGGAAAACCACCGAGTTAAATAATTAAATGATATAAGTCAGCATTTCGAGAGCAGACTCAACAGAAAAATCTACAGCAGTGAGACCCCATGCAATACCCATGCTGTGCTTTTTGGAAATGGTGCTTTCTCTTTCCCCCTAATTGGAATCAAAACCTTTTTGTCTGTATAAGAACCCCCATATTTGAGCTTTACTTTACACTGAGTATTACATTAATGGTTTGGTTGATGTTATCTGTGTAACATAATATATAATAGACACATAACTCTACCCAGTTTTGACCATACACCAAAGATCACTCATTCACTCAATTTATGGGTACAATTCTTTATTGTGTGAGATATTTAAAGTTAAGTATCTTTGTATTTCCATATCATATTATTACAAACTGTTAATAATTATGCGTTCTGGGTAAAGAAAATGCAATTGGCTTCCAGTGCAATTCTATAGATTTCATATGATGATATATTATATGATGAAGTGCTCCCTCTGCTGGTAATTTGATGGTGGTGTAAGCTGTGTTTTAAATGTGCATTGTTAACCTGCCAAAATATTTATAAATAAATGGAAGCAATTAAAAAATGGGTACATTAATTAATAACTGATTAATTAATAGTGTTGAAAATAAAATAGTGAATAAATAAATGTAAAAAAGAAAAAGAAAGAAAATAAAAAGTAAAAAAAAAATGCTCAGAAACTGTCTATTTAATTAAACATTTATACTTTTGTTCATAATTTTTCATTGCTTTATTGTTCCAACATTTATCCTTGTATTTATTTATTTATTTATTTATAATTATGCTATTTTAGATCCGCCATAGCTACCTTTGTGATTTGTTCATTATACTTATTCTGCAATGTCCATGCCAAATAAATACTATCCTTCAATGTGTTATCATTACCATAAATAACTTCTTTTGTTTCTAAATGCATCCCAGAAATAGATAGTACTCAGTTACATTTACTTGAGTAACTTTAAACAAACTGTACTTCTCATAATACTTTTACTCTGGTCACCCTACTCCTGAGAGCTACTTTTACTTGAGTAATTTCTTGGGCCACTACTTTGCACTATTGAAGTATTATTTTGAAGTAACGTTACTCTTATTTGAGTAAGATGTAAAATGATTCTCACTATCGCTAGACGGAACTTTCCCTGCAGAGCTGCTCTACCCCCTTTCTCCCGGCTGGTGGCGCTACTCCTCCTGCCCCTAACCAGAAGTCGTGTCAGTGCGTAAACCTTTATCTGCGCATGCGTGCCCTCCGCTCTTCCTTTCCGACGCACGACCGGAGCAGAGAACATGGGCCATCAGCAGCTGTATTGGAGCCACCCCCGAAAATTCGGACAGGGATCCCGTTCCTGGTCTGTACCGGCGTTATTTCGTGTATTAACACTTTATGAATTCAATCGAGGTGTTTTGAGTGAGTTTGAGATGAAATACGCGGAGAAATTTTAACGGATCTGACACGCCGCATGGGAGCTAACATGGCGGCATCATGGCTAGTAGGATGCGCTTTCCGGATTAACAATTGACTTTATGTCCTGTTTCTACAATGTCCATTTTAATAAAAACGTCTGATGCATATTTATGTTAAGATTAAAGTCTGTTGTGTCACCAGTTAAGATTTATACAGAGAAGTATAGCTGATATTTCGAGTAAATTCCATTCCCATCACTAATTGCATTGGCGCTCTGGCGCTGTCTGGTGTCAATTGTCAAATGACCAGTTTACATTTATGAAAGGTGTTCTGTTTTTTTTTTTGTTTTTTTGACTGTGTACAGTTTGGCAATAATTTAAACATTTATTTAGATTTAGAAGTTTTGAGCAGATGAAATTGGTTGAATTTACTTTTTGATGTCTACTTAGTTTAAGACCGATGATTTGCAGAAATGAAATCTGTTTAAAAGTGTTTTCTCTTGCAGCCAGTTGGAATTTTTTTATTTGCATATTACCATTAACTATCAAATGTGAAAACTACACTTTTAAATTTAATTATGTGAATATCTGGGACTAGACACAAAATTAGAATCAAACATGCAATCAAACATTTTTCTTTTTCCTCTTAAAATAATTTACTCTTCTTTGTTGTTGCAGCCGGGTTTGCTCAAACAGACACGGCCTGATCCGCAAATATGGACTCAACATGTGCCGTCAGTGCTTCAGACAATACGCCAAGGATATTGGATTTGTCAAGGTATTTGGTTAAATGGATGCACGATGTTGCATAAAATCTATTGATGGTCTTGAGATGTGGTGATGTTGTGATTGTTCAGAATCAGTGAAAACGGTATATTGCAATTGTTTGTGAACAAAATCCACAAACTAGCAATGTGCTTCAGCGATTATTGTGCCAACAATCAATACTGATTGTAAAAATTTTCATCTTTAAATGTGCTGAAATGGGAGACATGCATAAAGTATTTGTAAACTGCCATCTGCTATTGTCCAGATGTCTCAGTTGTAAGACTTTCTCAAAGTTAAATTGAGAATCTAATTTGTAAAATGTTATCTTTTATAAAGAGATTATGAGCGCTGTTTTTGATGTGTATAAAGAATCAAAAAGATTTCATATTTTGGACTTGAGGGCTATTCAGTGACCACTTATTGGGTTGTTTATTTGGTGTACAGATGACTAAAACATTTTAACTTTGGCTTGTGTTTTGTTTCCAGCTGGACTAAAGTCAGCAGCGATTCCTGATGGGTTGAAATCTCTGGATGTTTGGCCAAGATGTGACGCCCCAGTTTTGCAAATAAATGTTTTTTTGTTGACTACTTCATGTTTTGTGTTTTTTTTTTGTCATGTAGGAGACATTGTTTCTACATAAAGCATTTTGCTACAATTATATTTTTATATTCTTGTATTCGTTTTGATGCCTAAGGTGTGAAAATATCTACATAAGAATCTAAAGTATTTTAGAAGATCAAATTACCTAATCAAACTATTTTACTAGCTTGTTAGCTTTATATTCTTACCTGAAGCTCATGTATATTACTCAATGACATGATTCAAGATTGTTAATTGAATTCCATAAGGTTCTGCAAGTAGATGCATATGTTTACCCAGAATACATTACATCTGTCCTCATGAATGTTAAGATCAAATAGTGATTTTGTGTTTAATACTTGATTATGCCTCGATGCTGGCTACTTTTAATCTAAGGAATCTGAAGTCTAGTCTTCATCTATTTGAGTATTTTCAGATATTATAAAATTATTTTCCATATTATAAAATATTTTATATATTTACATATGTAAAATATAAAACACTTTTTGTTTAACCTGTAACCTCATGTGGTTACACTTGGCTACCTTGTATTTGATAGCAAGCTCATAAATGTTAGACCCTTGAATGTTGACACTTGTGAGCGTTTAGCCTTGTTATGCTTTTACCTCATCAAAGACATGCCTTTTGTTTTGTCACACAAGTCTACATTTTCAAAGCTCAAAATCCTCTGTCCTACTTTGGGGTGGCACATAGTCATAGTTTTCAAGTTAACAGCTACCGTTTACCTTTAGTTCAATAGAGATTAGGAAATTGAGGGCTGAAATTATCCAAAAAACACAATGGTACACTTCGTGTACTACCATATGACATCTAAAGGTAGATCAGACAAGAAGCCTAAATATGTAAAGTGCTTCACATAAAAGTCAACAAAAAACATATACCGGTATACAGAAAGCATGATACATAGGAAAAATACAATAAATCACCAAGATAGTATCCTGTCTAGCTAGTATTAAATGCCAGGGAGAAGAGTTGGGTTTTCAGTCTAGTCTGAGAGGATCTGACAGGCAGAGGGAGGCCGTTCTACGGTCAGGGCACTGCCATCAAAAAGGCTGTGTCACCTCTGGTCTTGAGCCTGGCTTTGGGCACAGAGTTTGTGATGAGAAAGCAACATTAACAGCTCAGAGAAAAGTGCAATATAGGCCCTTTAATTTAGGACTGTGCCCCCAAGTGTGGCCAGTCCAAGTCATGCTGGCACCCATTTCTTTACCTTGGAAGCACCGTAACTTGATTGTGTGGATTGTAAATATATTGTAATGGTGCTCAGCCAGGTCATCTGCAGAGAAATCTCCATTATGGTCTGATTCCAGGGCCTTCGGGTTTCAAACAGAATACAGAAGAGACTGGCCAGTCATTTAACCAGCCCCTAGGGATGGTAAATCGTTTATATAGTAGGGCAGGAGTTTTCAGCTTTTTTCCTCCAATGATCTACCTATACAAAATGAAAATGGCAAAGAGCTACTCATTTTAGCAGGATAAGAAATTGAGCATATATGAATAAGAGCCACGAGTCTTAGATGGAATACAGTTAGATGCCTACAGTATAAAACAAACCATTATCCATTTATGAATGTGTACAAAGTTAGGGATCAAAATGATACATGTACAATGGTAATATGCATTTAATAAATCAAATTTTACTCATTCAGGACAATACATATAAATCAGAAATCCCTTGGCAAGCTACGTGGAAGGGGCTTGAGAGCTCCCAGGCTACAGGTTGAAGAAGCCTGTAGTAAGGTGACCGCTTCAAATTAAGGTTCTTCATTAAACAAAACTGACCCTTGTAAATGGTAAGCCATGTTATAATGTTCAAAAAACTACCAAGAGTTGTGTTTTCTTTCATTCACACGTTTGAATAATCCTGCATTATCACATGACATCACAAGGTGGAACAGTGTTAGATCAGACAAGAGCATAATATGGGCCCTTTAAAGTAAAATTGGGATGGAATATAAAGGAGTGGATATGATGTAAAGTAAAGTTTCAGTGTTTATCAACTACAACGTACACAAATTGGAATAGTATTAGATCCCAAAATATTACAAGCCTACAGCTGAAAGAGATCATGTTTCTAATCCCCAGTGACCATGAAAAAATAACACATTATTGATTTATTTTTATTA